TATATATATAATAATTAAAAATGTTTTGATTAACATATTATATTATTAAAGATTTATTTTAATTAATTATAAAATATTATAATTAATTAATTTTTTAAAATATAGTTTTCATTCATTTTCATTGCTCATAAGCTAATTTTTGTTATTGTCCATAATCAACCATCAACTAACGTATTAAATACGAGCTAATTTACGAGAAATAACATTAAAGTAATTAAATACTTTATTTATAGTCTACGTATTAAAAAATTAATATTGAAAAAGAGATTTTCAATTTTAAAATCTGGCGGTGCCTCTATGCGCAGTGAGGTCACTTTTTTGAGTTGTTTGTTTTGGTGGCTCCTGACACATTGCGACGGCTGACGGCAGCTACATGATTTGTTTCTGTAAACGATGACAAAATAACGACGGTGAATAATTATGGAATATTTTTTAGATATCAAAATAAAAACTTCATATATACATTCTAATTTTTTTGTTTTATTAAAATATTATTTATCTTTAATAAACTATAAATTTTAAAAACCAACCTCGTAACTTAGGCGTTGTTTGGCAATTGCTGAATGATTAAGAGGCTCTCATGATATAGTGTAAAATGAAATATAATTTTTTGATAATTGTGTACAATTAAATTAGGGCTCTTAATGGTTAAGGGAGATCCATGATACAAAATCATTCAGAGAGTTTTAGAACCATTAAGAGACATATTTTTGTTTATCAAACAAGATTCACCTTTTAATGATTAAGAGGTTGCCTCTTAATGAAACTATTAAGAGGTAAACAAACAACCCCTTACTCATATATATATATATATATATATATATATATATATAAAAGACACTAAAAAAAATGCTGTATACAACTTATTGAAACGATTCGACTTCATCGTGTTCCCTTTGAAGAAAAACACTATATACAGCAAGTTGGACGTAAGCTAATAAAATCAGAGTGAAAATAAAATGGATTTGATGAACAATGGAAATGGAGTTTCTTTCTTCAAGATATTACTTAGGGACGACGTGGATTACCTTGTTGGTTCATCTCTTTTTCTCTCTATCTTCTCTTGCATTTTCGTTGTTTATTGTTTATTGTTATTTTGCAGCCATTGCCGTCTTCATTCGCCAAAAGGTATCTGAAGAAGAAGAAGAAGAACGTAACCTTAGTTCTCAAAACCAAATCTACTATCAAATGGAAGGTTATGTACTTGGAGATTGAAGACAGATATTACTTCATCCATGGATGGCTCAACTTCATCAACGACAATCATCTTAAAATGGGCCACTTTCTCGTCTTTTGGCTTCTGTCTCCTTCCATCTTTCAAGTCTGGATCTATGCACCCAATGGCTGTCTCACAAATCCAACAACTACTTGTTCAGGTCCACTCCATTCTAGCTAGGGTTCCGCCCACCGTCCGCCATTAACAGTGAAGCAGTTGCATATATGCAGGTGGTAGTAAGAATGAGAACATCTTGAAGAAACCCTTCATTAAGGAAGAAGAAGCCAGTGATGATGATTCCATGGAAAGCGATAAGAAATCCTTGAAGAGGGTTATCACCAAAAACTACATTCATAAAATGGTAATTATCATTCATTTGATTTGCATTAGTAAGTATATATATATATATATATATTATGTTTTCTTGGAGAATTTATGGTATGGATTATATATATTTATGGCAGCTGATGACCAAGAGTTTCTTACAAGACGTGGGAATGAATGGCTGCCGCAGGCTGCGGCTGAAGAACGTGGATGGAAAGGTGTGGGAAGTGAAGGTAAAGAGGTATGGGAGGAAAGTGGCTCCATATATGTCAACAGGATGGATTAAATTCAGAAAAGAAAACAAGATAGAGGTTGGAGACTTGTGTGAATTTAGTCATGTGAAGGCCAATTTGCTTCGTGTTCATATCTTCAAGAAAGGAAAACAGGTGAACAAGAATCGATAGAATCCAATTTGAGATTTCCTTTCTGAACCTTATCTATCAGCTTAATCAAAAAGTCACTCAAATATTTTAGGTCATTGTTACATTCCCTCTAACTCTCAACTTGATGACTGTGATTTTTACCTTGTAGTTGAAATAAGTGTTTTACGCGTTTATATCGAATTAAATTTATAATTATTTTATAAAGTTTTATATAATTTTTTTTCTAGATATATTTTTATTAAAAAAAATCAAAATTTTCATCAAATATCATATATATGATACAATTAATTCATAATTTTTTTCACCATTTTTTTTGGATCCATGTACCGGATCACATATGATAAACTTTGTTTAACATATAATCTAACATAAGTCATCATATGAAATTTTGTACATATCACATATAATTATATACATCTGAATATAAGTGATGTATTATCACAATAATATTTACATGACAAAAAGATCTATAAATATAAATATACATGATCACATATTATAACATATAGATCGATAGTATATATTATATATGATAAACATCTTTGTTATTTTGTTTTGAAAGTGGTACGTGATCACTAACTCTACCAATAATTTCCAATAAAGTAAATGACACTCTTTATCTTTTTCTCAATTTTCTAAATATTATATAAATAGTATATTATTGTTTTATTAATCATAAACTTTACTCTATAATATATTTAATATATTATACTAAATATAAAATTCCTCATCCTCTTCTTCCATCTATATTGTTATTTTTGCTAATTTGAAATGAAAGGTGATATAAGCCATAAGGGCATCTTCAGTGCATGACACTCTACAGGAGTGTCATGGACTGCTACATCAGCATTCCACTCACCGTACAACTCTATCATTTTATACCCATACTCCATAACACTCCAATGAGTTTAATAAATTTCAACATCATATATTATATATATATATATATAATTTTACCAACAAATTTAAAAATCTACTAAAAACAAGAAAAAATACATTAAAATGAAAATGAAACGAAATTAAAATACATTTAATAAAAAGTACGAGACTAAAATACATCAGTTAAAAAGTTCCAAAGCTAGAAAATGAAATGCTTAAACACCAAATAATTTAAAACTATAAAACCTAAACACATATTAAATAAAAAACGACGATGCCTACAAATTATATTTTATTTTGATCTCTTCACAAC